ACCCCTTCCAAGGCAAGTGTATGCGAGATTCCTGTCCATGCTGCGATGAGGTGATGTGAGTTTCAAGGAGGACGAGGGGGGATGGGCAGTCGTGGTTGAAACAAATCGACCTGGCCTTGGCGATTTATGATTTTTATGATTTATGACATTTATGGATGTTGAATGCGGTGTGCTTTGGCTCCGTCCTGGGCCTGGATCCGCCTGGCCGGAGGTGCGGGGAGGTTGGGAACGGGAAGCCCTGCGTCCGAGGAGGCCAACAGACTTTGTTCACGGTACAGTGGGGTGGCCTCTTTAAGGCCGCCCTGAATAAGGCCAAACGGTCAATAAGGCCGGTCAAAATCGGCCATATCTGGTGGCACGACCTCAAGTACTAGAAAGACGTGGCCACAGGCAGTTTGAGCGTGTGGGGGGCGCCGCCATGTCCTGCTTCAAAGGCAAGAAGTGCAGGCTGCCCCATGACACCCCCCAACCGCCTCACTACAGTGTACACAAGTGCTCTGGGCGTGATGGGTACCTCCACGGGATCAGCGGAGAAGTCTATCCTGATGGCGATTCAGAAATGGATCATGTGTGGAGCCTTTGCTACGATCGGGTTGTTGCGCCACCTCGATCCATTGTCGACGAAGGGCAGAGTATGGGCGAGTCGCTGCCACCATTCGATGCTATGGACGTTGACCAAGGTCCAATCTTGTTTAGTGTTGTTTAGAGTGATTATGAGATTGCCAAACAATTGGGCAAGGACAATGCCGATGGCTCTGGCACGAACAAAGACAAGTTCAAGCGACTACCGGTGGAACGAGCGGCCGCTCAAGGGGCCGTTTTTGCCCCTGGGTGGCAAGACTTTGTGCCGTACGGGGCGCTCGCAGCCCAGGAACCCTCGGGTACCTTGTACACTGGGCACTCGGGCCTTTACCGCTGTGTTAACGCATGCGCAGGGGCGTTTGCAACCCCATAGCACCGGTCACCCTGTTCAAAACCGCTCTCCTTCAATGGGACGATTGCCTACTGACAATCAATGCTACCAAGCAAAGTACTACGCTTCTTATTGGGCAAAGCATAAAGTACTAACAATATTCTGATATCAAAATACCCTTAAAAATAATCAATATATGCACCATATGATGTTAAATGTGCTGTACATGGCTTCTACAGCCTTAAGCGGGCTGTGGAGCTCAATAAGGTCAACGGTCAATAAGGCCGGTGAAATGGGTTTGCCACGGGGTGGCCTTCAAGAAGCCACCCCACTGTACCATGTCTGGTAGCAGCAGTGGTTCGGTGTCATGGCGTCTTGTAGGACCTAAAGAGGACCTGCGGAAGGGGCCTAAGGGGCGAGGCCTTATTTCTTTTCTGCGGTTATTGGGTTGGTACCGATGGTACGCCGCGCTGCACTGAACGCTGGCTGAGGACACTCCTTGCTCTCTGAAGATACAGTCTCGCAATCACCCACTTGCTGAGGGGTAGTGCTGAGAACAGTCCGCAGGGAAGCTCCCCTGTCTCCACTGGCGGCGGCATGGTTCCAAAGTCGCCCGCCCTGGGCCGCACCTGCTCCGCGGGCCTCGCATTCCTTTCCCACCACACGGCGTGCGTCGGCCCCAGTCCCCCGCGATGGGCATCGTCCATTGGCGGCCCGGGCAGCGGGGACGCCAGAGAGGGTGTTGACGTCCTGCTTTCTTCCCTCCAGGCTTCGCGCCTGCAGGCGGATGCTCGCCAGAGTGCGAGCTACGGGGCCTCAATAGAAGTGGCGCCCAGCAATTGGGCCCTGATTGAGCATTGGCGGGCATTCAATTCGCCAATCTCGCTGTCGTCGCTGCCGCCATTTTGGACGCCGTCGCGGCTGGGCCGCGCACAGACGGGGCTTATGAATTGTTTTGAGCGCCCGACGTCATTCAGAGTGAGGGAAGCTGGCCCATCCTCGCCGCCGGCCGGACCTCTGTGTGGTGGCCGCGGCGCCCGGCGATTTGGCTTTTTCAGGGGTCAGGCTGTGATGGCGGCCGCAGAGGCAAAAGAGGTGGATCCCCCAGACCCAACAGCGCAGGGTCAAGCTGTGATGGCAACCGTAGAGGCAAAAGAGGACCTAGATCCCCGCCTTCGGCGCAGCATGGCGATCAACAAGAAGATCACGAGCATTTACAAACGATGCATGTTCAAGGTTCTGAAGTTGAGGGACTTCAGGAGGCACGATTCGCCGGAGGGCCGGGAGCGCGTGGGGGCAATGGTGTCGTCCTTCGAAGAGCTGCTCCAGGAGAACCGGGAGGTCTTGGACAGCGTCAACCTGATGACCATGTTCCACAGGTTCTCCATCGTCAGCACATTGTTCCCAACGTCCGAGTGGATGTGCCGCCAGCACGGTGATTTTCTGGGTGCGCTGCTGGGCCTGGCGTCCACCCAGTTGGACAAAATGGAGACGCACCACATGGGCAACTTCATGCTGGCATTGAAGCACCTGATGCCGCACCTAAGGGGCGTTGAGATACCGGGTGCCACTCTGGAGGAGGTGGTGAATGGGGTGTCGGAAAACGCTGTGCGCGCCAAGGACGACATGAATCTGAAAAACATCGCCCACACAGTGGCGGGCGTAGTGTGCTTCGGCACTGTCGATCAGGACAAGGTAATTGCTGAACTCCTCGGTGTTGTGCCGTCCAAGCTTGTTCTTGGCAAGACAACACCTCAGGATGCCTGCCTTTTGATATGGGCCCTTGGGAGGGCTCGTTGTAAGGATTGCAGTTCAGTGATTTCACAGCTGCTGGATGCCATCAGTTCGGATGTTGGGTCAGCAAGACCTGGGATGCTTGTGGATATAGTTTGTGGGCTTGGGGAGCTGGAATATGTGGGTGCTGATAAGTTCTTGCACTTGGCCATCCCTGAGCTCCTGAAAGGCAGTCCTACACTGTCAGTGAATCAGGCGGTGGAGCTGATTGTTGGCCTGGCCATGCTGAAGCACAAGAATGCAGAGGTGGTGGATTTGCTGGACATCTTGCGTCCTACAATTCAAATTAACATGTACCAGTTGGATTCTGCGGCCAGAGAGAACCTGACTCAGGCCCTAAACGCGCTCGAGTACAACCCAGGTGATCGGTTCTGGTCTGAGATTTTAAAGGTGGGAGACAGGAAAAGCTAGTGAACACAGAAGACAGAGGGCTGGGAAGAGTGAGGGAAGATGCTGCAGTACGCACGCTGGTGGTTCCGATTGTTACAGTTTTGGGCCACAAGCCTGTACCCCTTGTACTTGTGCAGTGTTCACCAGTGGTGCACAACACACTATCAATATGGGCCAGGAAATTTTACTGCCGAGGACAAATTGCCATGTTATTGACAGGGACTCATGGTCTTGGTCATGGACGACACAACAAGTGCAGAAGCAGCACATGAATGAATGACTCTGTTGGTTGCACATCGCCACTTTCCGACCGATGCCAGAAGCTGATGCTACTCGATCTGCAAGCAGGCATGCTGCAGGGCCCCAGTGCAACAGGGGCTGCAAGAAGGCAAGATGGACTCCCTATTTTCCCAGGAGCTGAGCTCCTTATTTGGTGCTGCTAGGCAGCCCTGGCATAGTGACTGCGTTTGTACAGAAAGGGGCATTGGACATGGATTGCAGCAATTGGGCTTGCGCCATCACCTGCATTGAGCCACCGCAGATTTCAGGTCCCAAGAAAGTGCAGTAAGGTTTGCTCCTTTTTGTTGCAATCGGCGCACGGGCACAGGAATTGCTGCCGCCTTCTCTATCAGATGCAAAGAGGGGCGCTCTCCTGTAGGAATGCCAATCAGAGAGTGATATAGACCCAGGAAGGGCACCTGACGGTGCTGTGACGGGGGCCGCTGTCGAAATGGGCAAATTCACGATTTAGTCCAAAGTAAAATGAAATTGCATTTCTCGCCCAGCTGGCTTGCCAACCCATCGTGCCTGTCCCCCTCTCCACCAGATCTTGTTGTATCTACAATTGATCGAGTATTATTAACAGCTGGACGCATAGAGGTGATGAGGCTTTGGGAATCGCATGAAGAACATTGATGAACGGACTGGAAATAAACGACAGAGTTCCTGTTGACCTTTTGCTCCGCTGTAAACCGTTGCTGTGTACTCGACCTATTGGCCCCAGTCAGGGGTCGCCACCCCTCGACCCTGCTTGCCTTCGCCAATGTGTTTCTCCAACGTTTCCTGGATTTCAGCTCTCCTTTTCTTCCCTGCGCGACGCAGTTACGTAACCCCACTCCCGAGTGTCAAGTCGATCGGGCGTCAGCCCCGCACGCAGGAACAAGGTGGGGCGCATCGTATACCCCAAGCGGCAACCAATCCACCAACAAGGGCCTCTCCCCAGCCCGCGGCAGCGACAAACTTCCTTCTCGCTCCAGAGACCGCCGACCGCAAACTGCCGAGGCAGCGCCGGGCTCCCCGGGCGCGTGACTCAAGATGCTGGCCACCGCGGGGACCTTCCTGGGCACGGCGGCCTCCTACTGCTGCTGCATGGCCTGCCGCTGCGCCCAGAAGAACATCTTCGCCAGGAGCGCCCGCGCGGGCTACTGCGTGCTTTTCACGCTGGCGATGGTCCTTGCGTGGGTGATGCGCAACTACGCCAAGCCCCTCATCGAGAAGATTCCCTGTGAGCTCCCCCCCGCCCGGGGAAGGGCATCTCGAAACGCGGCCTGCGCGTGCCGATCGGGGTTGGTGGGGCGGGCCGCGCTTCAGCTGCGAAACCGAAGCGAGCGCCGCCTGTCTTGTCTTGTGGCGAGAGCGGAGTGCGCTCGTGCTTTGGCATGGGGCGGCCCCTTTGGGAACAGGGTGTGACCTGCCGACGCTGTATCGTAGCGGGGCGGAACGGAGAGGACAAGGAACATTTTCGCTCGGATTGCCACTGCGATGGGTTTTTGAGAAAAGCATGAGGCCCGTTGTCGGTGTGTGGCATTGTGCGGAAGGTCTTCAGCCGTTGTAGTTTGGCAGCCAACCAGCAACTGCCGTGGAACTGCCCCTGGGCAGAACTTCTGCTGTGTGCACCCACGGCTTCATAGCGGTGGGTTGTGACGGCTTCTGCAGCAAAAGGTGACATTTTTCGTCCATTGGGTGGCCCGCCAAACCCTGGAGCGAGCATTTATGGTGTGGCTATCACAAGCCGCAGAGCGGGCTGAAGGGAGTAGGGTGGCGAGTGGTTGAAAATTTGCGAGGATTCGCTGGTGCAAAATGGTATTTATGACGGACTGCCAACTCGCGCGAGTGTGGGGTTACTGCCCAGTGTGCTGGTTATTGGTGGTGCAGGTGATGGGGACGTTGCCTGAACAAGTGGTATAGGCTTGAAGTTTCTGTTGAGTTGATTTGTGGGTGATGGTCAGGGTTCACTGACAGGAAAGCTGCCTTGAAGAGGCAAGCTTGTCGGTGTTCATGTGCTGATGTATTTCCGCAACAAGCCTTTGACTCCGGCGTGCACTGGCAGGGGTGATGAGCCACGCTGCTGCAGATGACAGCAAGTGGTTTGGCCAGCAAGGAGCTTACCGCATCAGTTTGGGCAGCTTTGTAAGTGCTAAGAGCCCTGGCATATCCTGTTGTCCTTCGATTTTGTGTCTTTAATGGATATCCCAAGGATGCTTTGTGCCTTTTCTGAGGACATGGACTTTCTAGGTTGCTGTGGCTGGGAATTAGGAAGGTTGGCATGTTTGATACAACACACTGTGTGCAATCATTATTGTCATGTCTTGCTGTTTCCTGACACAGCTTGTGTTATCTTTCATTGGCAGACTCTGCAGGGCATGTTTGGGGGGCACCAGTTTGTCTCACAAAGCTGTTGTGGTGCCATCCAGATCTTCTTTGCCCTTCTGTCACTGATCATGACCAACATCAAATACAAGAGCGACTGGCGCAACAAATATTTGCAGCATGGTGGCTGGGGCATCAAGTTCGCCCTGTGGTTGTTGTTCCTAATCATACCTTTCTTCATCCCAGGCGGCCTGGAGTGGTATGGTAAGTACACTGCAAAGTTCCTGTCTAGTTTTTTGGCATTCCAGAATCTTTCATTACACTCAGGAGTTCGGGTACCAATCCTGTCTCAGCGGAACAGATGTAGGCATGTTGCCATCCCACAAGCCAGCTCCAGGCGTTGTGACACCCCAGGAAGTATTGCTCGCAGTAGCATTTGACCTATGTTGGCCTCAACATGTAGCATTTCTGGAGAAGAGCTACAGCTCTGCCTGTGCTCAGTGCTTGTTTGTGTGTGCTGCTTGGGCAAGAGGTAGAGGGCTGGTTGTTGCGGAAGGGAATGTCTTGGCCAGTGTTTCTATTTTCGATTCCGAACGTTGGAAATTGCTCAGCGGCTGTTGTTGCCTTGGCACAACGTTCCATGCTCTTATGCCCATAATTTTCAGCACTCACCTAAACTTCCCATCCGTGTTCCTGTGCAAACAAGCCAGAAAACAGCAGAACAGCGCTGCCTTAAGGGGCAGTGCATCCTGTCTCAAGATGAAACAGAAGCTGCAGGTGATGCTGGTGCTTGTGTGTGTTGAGCAGGCTGGGTGGCGCGGTTCGGGTCTGGCCTCTTCCTCATTGTGCAGATGATGATTCTGCTCGATGCCACGGGCCTCCTGAATGACCTCTGGTTCAGTAAGAGTGAAGAGAACCCGAAGTACATGTACCTTCTCCTTGGGGTCACTGCCGGGTGCTACATCGGCACTGTGGCCATGGCTGCAGTCGGCTTCTGGATCTTCAAACCAAGCGGTGGAGGATCCTGCACACTGAATATTCTGCTGATCGTTTGGAGCCTGCTCCTCACTGTTGGGTTCTCCCTCATGTCCGTTCATCCTGGAGCCACAAACGGCAGCCTCTTTCCTGCTAGCGTGATGAGTGCGTATTGCATGTACCTGTGTCTGGCGGCACTGGAGAGTGAGCCCCGGGGCGAGTGCAATGGCCTTGAAAACAAGGCCGAATCGGCGAGTGCCATGTTCTTCGCCATGATGCTTACACTGGGCGCAGTCATCTATTCTGCCTTCCGTGCTGGATCCAACACCTCCACATTCTTTACAACATCGGAAGGTGAGTTGCGAGTGATGCCGTTGCCTGTTTGGAAGAGCTTGTTGGCTGAGGGTGCTGTGCACACGATGTCAATGCATGCCTCTGTTAATTGTCGGATCTGTGTGGTTGCATGTTGATCCATAGAGCGGATGTCTGTTGCTAGCTGTCTGCAGTAGGCATCTGTGAATGAGTTGGACGATGGGAGCCATGATCGCAGTTTGCAGGGTTGATACACATGTCAGGGCTCACAGATACTGCCCAGATTGCTTGCTTGGTGTCAGGACCATCCAGAGTTGATTCTCCCAACTAATTGACTATCATTTATTCCATCATTGTACAATTGAGGTGAACATCCCCTCAAAGAGGTTGTACGCACAACCAAGAATGTGGCTGTATACACGACCCTTTTGGAATCCCGCTTTTGAATTTGTCCCATTGACAGCCGCTGCTCTCTTACCCACAAGGCAGTGATGTGCTCATCTGACAGCCACGTGGTTTGTGCATTGTTTATCAACGAATCTCGTGCCCTGGCTTGTGTGCGCCAACCTCGCTGAGCAATGGTGAAGTTGTTGATCTAACAGATGGCGACGAGCCAACAGAAAAGCCCCTCCTTGAAGGAGCTGAAGCTGGCACGTCCGCTGGGCTTGATGGTGAGGACGCCAAGGCCCCTGAAATCCAGAAGGCTTCTCGTGACGACAAAGAAGGCAGGGCCATGGACGAATTCACGCCTGTCACCTACAGCTACAGCTTCTTTCATGCCGTCTTTGCTCTGGCCAGCATGTACATGGCCATGCTCATGACTTCGTGGGGAACTGGGGATGGCAGCGCCCTCATCGATGTGAGCTGGGCATCTGTGTGGGTGAAGATGGGCTCACAGGTGGTGACGGCTTTGCTGTATTGCTGGACGCTGGTGGCCCCGATTGTGTTCCCTGACAGGGACTTCTCTTAGGTGCGCGATGGGTGGCGAGGAGCTTATGAGAATGGACGCGAGCTGCTCCTGCGAAGTCCGCACATGGTTCAACCTGCTACTAGGGAGCACCGACTCTGTGTTTGGGTGGGTATGGATACTGTCAGTGATGGAAACATGAACTTGGGACTTGGCAGGTTGGCGAAGCGAAATCTGCAAAAGCCATAATTTTAGTCGCTTGGGCTACAGGCGTTGTACCATCACTGTATTGTGGGGACCCTTGAGATCTGTACAATTGATGAGACGCTTTCTTTAATTTCCCATGCGGCCACTGCTCTGGATATTGACTAATCCTTCAAGACGGGGAATTTCTGGGTCAGTACCATTGTGGACATCGAGTTTAGTGTGAACAGCATTTCGACTGCATAAGTTCAGTGAGTAGTTGTGAGAATGCCCAGCAGCATGGCCTTGAGCCTCTTTCCCTCCCTAATTGTGAGAGTCGCCATCGGGTTCGTCTGTTGCATGTGAAAGGCCCTGTCTGTGGCTTGGCGTGTGGAACTGGGCCTAAAGAGCGAGGTCATTGCGGGCGAGGTGCACGGCAGAAATGTAATGGTGGCAATGGATCTAAACTTGCTTGAGGTGCGGGGACGGCCCGAATGCAGGTGGCAGATGTCCCACGATGTCCTTTCAGGGGCGTATCGGAATTGAGCAGTTTGAACTGTCAAGACATATACGCCCTACTGTAGTAAGTTCCACTCGTCCAAACGTGGCTGGAGAATCGCTCACCAGGATGGCATTGCTCTCGCTAGCTTCACACATGCCTAGTCTAGCAGGAGTCTACAATAGAGAACTTCCTGCTTGATCGCAACGCGAGAGCGATTTACATCGATGTGCACATTTGAGCCACAATCGAAATCAGAAGTTTAGATCAGTAAAAAACTTGATGCTGTCCCCCAGGGCGTCAATGAACATGTCCACCTCGTGGCGCGTGTTGTATATGTACAGGCTGGCTCTTGCCGACGCCGGGACGTCCAAGTACTGGTGAAGGGGCTGAGTGCAGTGGTGGCCGGAACGCACTGCCACGCCTGCGGCAAGCCGCCCGCACCAACCGTCAGCACAAGAGCAGGGAGCATGAATTTCACACGCAGGTTGTTCGGATGACGGCAATCCCCTCATAACGGTCCATCAACCAGGTTCACGGTGTCATAACGTTTTGGGCGAACGCATGCAACCATGACAGTGTGAGCCAACATAGCGCCGCCATACGAACAATGGCTAGCAATCAAAACGCACAACGCACATCTGGTAACGTCAGCGACAGGCTGGTCGTGGGTCATTTGGCAGTGGCAACCAGTGGATGACTACGGAGCAAGCTGCCTTCTTTCAGCCATGGCGACGCACGCCTGGACTAAATCTCCATCCGCCTTCAGGCCTCCTACCTTGCTGATCCAGCAGAGCCGCCACGTCTGAAGCATGAAGCCCCTCCACGTTGAAGGCACACAGGCTGGCGCGGGACCTCGGCACCGATGGCGGTGGGCCGTAGATCCGAACCTTGCCCACGGATTTTAACCGATCATACAGATAGGCCCCCAAATCCTGTTCGTAAGCGTGCACCCTGTGCATGCCCAGGCCAGACAAGTAGTCGCACGCTGCCCCGAGGCCGATGGCCTCGGCAATAGCCGGCGTGCCAGCCTCGAATCGAGCAGGAGGCGGGGCATATGTCGAGTGGCTAATGAACACGTCCTCAATCATTTCCCCTCCGCCCATGAAAGGTGTCATCTCTTCCAACACGTCGTAACGGCCTGCAACGACGGTCAGAACAGCCGTCATTGTCTGGTGCCACTGTGAGACAGCACAAACTCAGTCACCGGAGTCTTCTGCGAATGTTTGCTCAACATTTGCGCGCGGCTCTTGTGCGGTGGTGCTTCGTCCTCACAGCTGCATGTCAGCTACTCTGGAAGCTGTGCCCACATTGACAAAGAACGGGATGCGGAATCTATTAGAATCAGATCTAAATTAGATGGAACACAACGCGACGCGGTTCAGACCCCGGTTCGTGCTCAAGCTGCAAAAGATGGTAGGAATTTCCTTAGCCACCAGGTTTGCCTCATGCGATTGACAAGACAAGAGATAAGGAGTGCACCCAAATGGAGAATGTGCCGCCAAGCTGTTTTGTGCCAATGTATGCTGGAGTTGGTGGAGCACATGATGGAGGTGACAGCAGGATGCAGTCATGCTCTTGGCATGGCGACCAGCCATGACTTCGCTTGGTCGTCGCTCTACATGGTCCATTACGCTGCACATATGGGGGCAATTGGTGTGGACATCCAGTGCTTACTACACCATAGTTGCAGTCGAGCAAATTCTCAGCACAAAGGAACCTAGATGATGCCTGATCGACAAACCAACCATTGCAGACGGAGGGATCGGTCATTTGTTTATTGCACTCACCCCACAAGAAACCGCAGCCTGTAGGTCCACACATCTTATGCCCAGATGCCACGATCCAGTCAGCTCCAAGGTCCTGGACATCGACTGGCCTGTTTGGCACCGACTGGCAGCAATCCAGCAGGACTCTAGCCCCAACCTTGTGGGCCATCTCCGCAATATCCTCAACTGGGCTCACTGCCCCAAGAGTGTTGGACACATGGAAGAGGGATACAAGCTTTGTGTGGTCGCTCAGCAGCTCCCTGAAATGCTGCAGAACGGAGTGAGTCACATTGGCACAAAAGACTTGTGGCCAGGTAAACGAGAGTGTGGTCATGCAGATTCTCCTGAGTATGTGCATTGCTGCATACTTCACTGCTGCAAACAAGGACTCAAACATGGACCTGCACAGTACGAAAAAGAGTCTCACATAATTCTTGCTCAGGATGAAGTCATACTGTGTATGCCATGCTATCCACTGCTAGAACGAACCACTGCCCATGTAAATAAGGCATGAGCTCAAAAAACGGCAAAGGCATGTTGAAAGGCAATGCCCGGAATTCAACCAGCCCTGTTTAGAAGTTGTTGATGGCAACAAGGTTACATTCTGAAATGACTGAACATCAAGAATTGATTGCTTATGCATCGACAGTATAGTCTCTCTTGGTAATGAAGCGACCCAAAACAGAAGTTTAAAACTGCACCAAAAAGCGGTTCACTAATGTTGATGTGGACATTCACTCTTCCTGTTGTCTCAAGCCATTCAGGTAACAACAAATCATTCCAGGAAAGAAACAAATGCATGCAAAACTTTTATTATAGCTGGCAAATACAGATTTGATTTTGTGAAAACAACTTGTGGTGGCGGCGCCAGCAAAACCGAATTTCAGCACCTTCTGTCCATTTATCATCGGCGTCGTTGAGTGTGAGTGTCCTTTACCTGCATATCCAGTTCTTCAGTGTCTTTAGTGAGGGTGACAGCACGAAGGCGTGCCCCTGTCTTCTTTGCCACTATTTGCCATGGAACAATATTGCTGTGGTGCTCAGCCGTTGATATTATGATCTGTGGACAAGGTGACAACATGCCACTCGTCAACATCGACAGAGGGTACCATTCCAGCAGAGCAATTCAACGGATTGTGCAATTGTGATGCTGCGGGTCATCTCTGATCACAAGCAAAACTGCCTACACAAGCAGGCACTGGCAAAACCAAAAGACCCTTCTTGCAACTGGCTGTTTGCTGCTAGTATCAAGCAGTTCCCCACCACAGGAGCTGTGTACGAATGGGACAGCATCATTCTGATACAGTTGTTCATGTCCAGTGGCAACACTGCCCAAAAGGCACTGACATGAGTTGATTCTCACTCCAACCCAACAAATGACCACCTTGAGAAACTCATTGTCCAACACTGGTAAAACTATGCAGGAAGATGACTTTGAAAGACCAGAAAATCAAGTTTGCGTGAACTATGGCAAATGATGTGCTAATGTTGTAGGATCCAAGCCCAGTTCGAAGCACCATTGCTGTGATCCAGTCCCACTGCACTAGAATCCGAACATCGCCTCATAGGGCTTAGGTCTGTCACACTATCAGGCCCTTCGATCAAAGCAACATCCAAACTTTACCATTGGAGACGAAAGCCCTGCTTCCCCCACCAAACCCCAGGCCATCTCCCAGCACAATCCCAAGTATGCAGAGCCCACATCAGGCTACCCCTGGTGCGTGTGGATTGGGCAGGGGCTGGGAGGGGGCATCCCCTATGCGCTTGCCAATATGCATTGTTTGCTTTCAATGGCTGAGAAAAAGTGAGAAAAACACTCTGGACATATCACGGATGGGACATGACTGGTAATGTCGAACCATTGTATGAAAGGGCTCCCAATTTAATGGAAAACTCTCCTTGCGCTTACCTCGTCGCCCTCCCGCAGATTGCTCATGCCCCAGCTGTAGGCCACCAGGTTCATCGCCTCGCTGGCGTTCCGCGTGAATACCACCTCCCGAGACTCGCCCGCCCCCACGAAGGCCGCCACCCGGTCCCGCGCCGCCTCGTACATCGCGGTGGCCCGCGCACTGAGCGCGTGCACCCCCCGGTGCACGTTTGAGTTGGTGGTCCTGTAGTAGCCCTCCATCGCCTCCAGCACCGCCAGCGGCTTCTGCGATGTCGCGGCGTTGTCGAAGTACACCAGCGGCCTCCCGTTCACGCGCTGGTCCAGCACCGGGAAGTCCGATCGGATGCCGGTTCCCAGCTCCGCGGCAGCGGGCGCGTCGACCTGCGCCACGGAATACGCTTCTCCGGTCGGGGGCAGCGATCGGCATGAACGATGATTCAAGGCTCAATGCAGGGCCTTGAATGAACACGATCTCTCTCCTTGGCGCAGACACGAGCTCTTAAACACGAGCTCGTAAGCACGAGCTCGCAAAAACGAGCTCTGTTCTCGTCGAGATGCTCAATCCTTAAGCGCTGCCCTCCTTTGCGAGAAATCTGCAATGGACGGTTGGGTAGGCATCGCCGCGAAGAGAAAGGGCGCGAGGGTTTCCGCCGTACCGCTTGGGCGCGAAGGCGGAGCCGTCCCGCCGATCGGCTCGCGAGCGCCGCGCGGGCGGCGAGCTCCAGGCCACTGCGCGGCAGGCCGCTGGAGCCCATGCCCGGCGCGATCTGTGCGCAAGTCATTGCGCACAGGGGTGCCTTTCTCGGTATCCGGCACCCGGGGATCCCGCAGCGCGTCGCTGTTCCGAACGCGGAGCCCGGTTGCGCGTTTGCGAGGCAAGTGCCCTCCAGCCGCAGAAGCCGACAGCGGCGAGACTGAACAGCAGCTTGGGCGCCTGGCGCATCTTGGTTGATGAGGCATCATTAATGGTCGGGGATGTGTGTGCCTGTAACGCCTTGACCAAATTCGTGCCCTACGAGACCCGCGTCGGAGAGCGCGCACAGCAAACGACTGGCGCGGTGGCCGGCGCTGGAATGGGCTCCCTTCGCGGGGCGCCTGCGCTGTGTCATGGGCGCCGGGCGGCTGCCGATCTCCGCAGAGCCGGTTGGGTACAGGCCGGCAACGCACTTGGTAAGGCAACCGGGCCATTGCGGCGCGGGTTGCCGCGAAGATGGTTGATGGGAACCCTGCCGCCCGCCTCGTCTGGTGGCCCCCATGTATAGACAGCGGAATGCCGGTGTGCCGAGGTCTCGAATGCATGGAGGGCCGCCCCACGGCGAATAGGGCTTGCCCATGCATTCGCTCAACTCGTGCCGTTTTGGTGGTCGAGATTGGGTGTCGGGGCACGCCCCTTCTTGTCCTAGCGGCCGTTTTCGCGACGGGAGGTGCAAAGAGAAGGCTGCAAAGGAACGGAACTTGGTGCTGTCGACTGGATGCCATCGCTTGCTCATGACTCATTCAGATGTAGTGAATGGTCGTGTACCAAATGGTTCCATGTGCTGTTAGTCTCCACATAGCCAGTCATCGCCTTCGCGAACGCGCGATCTGGTGCTATCTTTCTGGATGAGAAAGTACCCAGATGGCTGCCCACGAGATGGTAGTCAAAGGCATTTCTCCTGGTGGCAGGAAAATCAGTGCCTGATGCCAGAATATCACTGGAAAGGCAATTCAAGCGAAATGCGAAAGATTGGCACAGGAGAAATAAAGGAATGGTGCTGGCTCTCTGGTCTCTTTCGCTGTGGAATACAATTCAAGAAGTGTTCTCCATCATTCTCAGTTCTTGCAGGCATTTAGAACCAACATGGCGATTTCTTGCCATGGAGTGCTCTTGTTGGCAACTTGTGCACGGTTATTCAGCTGATGGGCATGAAGTCCGTCAGCATCAGTTATGTGGCGAATGTGTTCACCCTGGGCATTGGGAGAAGGGAGAAGAGAAAAGGGGAAAAGGCAAACGGACAGAGCTGGCCTATTGGTGAATTCGTATTGACTTCCGGCCACATTGACAATCATTTGCCTGTCGATTGTGGTGCACTTTAGCAAGGCATGCTATTGAACATAGTTCATGTTTCGTCCAGTGCATAAACATTAGGGTACAGCAGGTTCCACATGCAGCTGGTTGCAAACACGGAAATGCGACAGAAAATATAGGAGGCAAAATATGGGGGGGTAGGGGGGGGTACTATCAGCGTGAATAAACAATCGACACATATCTATTGCGTGTATTGGATGCAGGAATCACAAGCAGAGGAACTGTCTGGCGTTGAGCAGAAGATGTCCTGCCACCTGAGGTTTCCATCTGATTTGCACCCTGTCAAGCGCAGGGACATCACTACCCCCTCCTCCCTGACAGATTCTGGCAGGGTGCGAAGTCCGCTCCTCTCCGCATACCGCCCACCTGCGAACTCTCGCCAAAGAGTTGTCGTACAGCCTGTCCCTTCGCATGACAATTCCACTCAATGTCGTCCTCACGACGCGGCAGATGAGACGCGGACGGGAACTTCACATGAACCCGGCATGGAGGAAAAGAAACTAGCCCAAGAAAAGACGATTCAAGATCTTCATGACACGGTCGTGCAGCTGAGCCGCCTCTGGGAATCATCGAAGGCGGAAGAATTGTCAAAATTGAAGTCTGAGATTGACAGTCAAGCGAGCACCCTTCACCGAGTGCAAGGCGACATGGCAAAAATGGCAACGTCTGGAACACTGCCGCTGGATCACGTGTGGTCGTCTCTCAGGGCGATGCACACCGACGTTGCCAAGCACAGTGGCGCCATTCCCCAAATCGAATCCTCCCTTCATCGCCTGGACTCCAGGCTGAAGGGATTGGAATCAAAGGCGCCCACCTCGGCGCCTCATGGTGACGAGCTCCGACGCGCGGTTGAAGAGCACGAGGTCCTGATTTCCGAACTGAGGGCGTCCGCGCGCGTATGTCGCGATGCAGAGGCTCGGAAAGCCGTGCAGCAAATCCAGGACTGCATGGCCGACCACCAATCCACCATTTCGAGGCTGCAGAAGGCAATCTCCGACTGCGGAGAGAGGCAAGTCGAAGGTCGCAAATCGGGAGATCGAGAAATTGAGGACCTGCGACGAGTGCTGAACGCACATGAGAGTGCGCTCAAAGAGTTTCGCTCGTTCGACGGCGACTGGACACCTCGGCGGCACAGACAGGGGATGGAGGACCTGCAAAGAAGGGCCAATGAACTGGGGGATGCTGTTGCAGATATTCGAAGGTCCTTGCAGGCCGCTGGAGGAATGGGCTGCAGCCAAAGATGGCAAGACCTGGAGGAGTCGCTGGCGAAACAACAGGACAGGATATCTAAACTCCATTCTCTCGGCATCGATGCTTCCCTGCGCCAACAGCAGGATGTAGAGAGGCTAAGCGTGCTGGTGAAGGAGCATCAGTCTGCCATTGCGGAGCTCAAGTCCCAGGATGGAACTAACCGTGCCCAGCAGCACGTTCATGCATTGGACCAGACTCAGAGCCGCTTGCAGCGCCTCGAGGCTGATCTTTCCGAAATAAGGTCGACGGCCGTCGAGGCCGCAGAAGAGGAGCGCCACAAATTCGGTGAAATGGACATGACACTGCTCGGCCACAAGACTGCCATTTCCAAACTTCAGTCTGCTGTCAAGAAACTCACGCCGATGGACCACCAAAGGGTACACGAACTTGCGAGTGACCTTGACGATCAAAAGGAACGCATGCTGAAAATGGAAGCAGCCATTCTGGACTTGCAGCTCAACCAACGTCCAGCTCAGGAATTTCATGACTTGAAAGCGGAGATGGCCGAAAAAGAAGTTGAGGTAAAGGCGCTCCGAGCCGACCTGACGGATCAAAGAGCTCTCACGACGCTGTTGGAAACTTCCGTTCGGGAGTTGGCTTCAAACCAACGTCACCAGGAAGTCGCCGACCTAAGAATGTCCATGAATCAAAAGTGCGGTGAGATAGAGGCGCTCAGATCTGATCTGATGCATCAGAAAAACCTCATAGCTCAGTTAGGAGCATCTCTTCGGGAAGCAGCGTTAAACAAACCTTCCATGGCTGAAGTGGAGGAGCTCAAAGGGGCTGTGGGCGAAAAGGCCCTTGAGGTGGATGTGCTGAAAAACGGGATCGAGTCCCAGCAAAAGAGCATCAAGCAGCTAGAGAGCGCATTGTCGCTGCTGAATGCTACAGTGAATTCTGTTCTCGAACAGCAAGAAAAAACGGACATCAGAATGAAAGACTGCCAGAAAACACAAAACGGGCAATTGAAATCCATCGAAGAGCAGGTGGAAGGCGTCCTTGTGGGGCTAGACGCATTCGATAGAAAAATTAACCACCTGCAGGCCGAAAAGAAAGTATCCCAGGCAAGAGGCGGAGCCCTCGAACAAGGAGTTGTGGATCTGCGGGCTGAAGTGACCATAATCCAAGAAGCGCAAGCGACACTACCCAGACTTGAAGAGCGAATGCGGCAATTCGCGTCCAGCCTGGACAGCCACAAACTCGCCATCCAGGGCATCGAAGAAAACTCTCATGAAATGGCAAAGAACCTGCGATCAGCTCTGTCCCAGAAAGAGGCAGGCTCCAATGCGAACGAGGTGGGCCAAGACATGATAAGACAGCTACAGGGCGCTTTCTTGGAGTCAACACGGGCACTGGAAACGAAAATGGAAGCGCGAGACTGGGACCTGATAGCCTTCGAGGAAAAAATATCGTCGATGGTCGATCGTCAGCCAAGTGCAAATTGCGAAATGACATCAACCATAGCGAGTCAAGGCAACATGATAAAGGAAGCACATGCAAACATTCACCAAGTTCGAGCAGAACTGATGGAGGTGGAGAAGAGGTTGCAGCAGAGCTATGATTTAGGTCGCGCCGCATCCATGGCCTCCCAGGGATACTCTCAGGAGCATTCAGAACGGCTTTTGCAAATGCTGAACCAAATGGGGCAATCCCACAGCGAAGGTATTGGAGACTGCAGGCAGCGGCTGGACACTGTAGAACAGTCAATTGCTACGCTCGAGGACGCCGCTGTCGAAATGAAAACGTCAGTGGGCGGCTTTGCCTCTGGGTTGATGGTGGTCCATGAGAGCATGGACACCTGCATGGAGCAGATGCAGGAACTGGTGGAGTCAAGGTCCCGCGAACAGGAGGCAGTTGGCGTCAGGGAGTCTGAGTTGACTGCTCGCATTTGGGAGCTGCGAGGACAACTGAAGAAAACGCAGCGTGTCTTGTCCGTGGCTCAGCGTGACAAGATGGCCTCTGGACATGTTCAAGCGCAGAATACGGCTGTTGGTCCCCGCTCTGAACAGACGGCGCAGACAGGGCCCGAAACAAAGCAAAGTGGCCAGAAGCCCAGCCCCATGAGCTCCATGGATTTGAGTCGATGGTCCTCCCTTGATTCCCTCGAAGTGGCTGATGCGCGGGGGGCAGCAAGGGCGGCAGTGGGCCGCACGCAACCGGAGCTGCGTGTCCCCAGTGTCAGCGACAAGCAGCGTCCTCCTGGAGGCACGGTGCAGCGTGCTCTTGCCAAGTATGAGAGACTCGGGTCTCGCAGCGGAAGGTCTTCCACCGTTACCGGCAGGAACCTCAGTGTTGGAGACCTGGGAAGCACTCTGGACGAATTTGTCCGCGCTCCCAGAGGCAACTCAGGCATTTCGCCGGTTGCTTCCTCCGACAGTTCCGTGCTACATGAGGCCTTGAAGGTTGCGGAGAGGCTCTCCAGTCAGTGCACACCCA